TTATTATTATGTATTATTTGTTACAGCTACAGATTTAAATACGACCAAACATCATGAAACCAGTTGTTTATGCCAACTCATGTCAACTGGTTCCACTAAAGTTGAGTAAATTGAGCAATTTACATATTTTCTCTAAGAGAAAGTTTGCAAATWTATTTAACTTGGTTTAGTGGAGCCAGTTGTGCAAAAGTACTTTTATTTTCTGTTTTTTTGTGAGCAGTTTTAAGTACTTTTCTTGTCAGTGAAAATCATTTTCTGTTCAGGTGTTTTTACTTTTACTTAGTTATTTCTTTTAGGTACTTTTTCTATTACTGTGATATTAATATCACAGTATACTGCAATAAATTACAAAAGTTTATACTTTGCGTAAATAAATATCTTCTGCTGCTAATAATATATTATTTGGCCTTGATGCGTACACTTAGTTCACATAAGAAAATGTGGCGATTAATATCGTCATCGCGTTATTAAATGATAATATTGCGTATCGTGATGTTGGTGTAATAAAACCTTTTTTAAATGTTGTTCTGAACTTTATGACAGGATTACAACAGATAAAGTGCAGCAGCAGCAGCAGCAGCAGCCGGTCCGGTCGTGTAAATAAATATTCAACCATGGCGATAATCCAGGAGGATCCCAGCTGTTAACTTCATCCAGACAACAAGGCCTCTGAAAACAGCCCGTGTCGTCACCTCGGCTCGGGCTGCACCGCGTCAAGCCCTCGTAGTACCGCAGCTACAACCGAGGTCTCCACTCCGGTCCGGGGCCGAGCCCGGAGCAGGCCTCGGCTCCTGGAAGTCCTCTCCTGTAAGAGTTACCGGGAAACCACCGGGGCTCTCTGAAACCCTGTCTCTCTGACCTCACCGGGCCCGGTGTTCTGCGACGGGACACGGTCCGAAAAGTCGGTGTTTTTTAGGGTTAAAACAGCTGATAAGTTAGTTGTGAAGTGTCAACAGGAAGGCCCACAAACCGTGAAATAAAAACAGGAAGGTTAACAAACATGATGAGGAGCCATGACACCGTCATGGCGTTTGGTTTCATTTCAACTGGAAAAGTTTTTTTTCAGAGCCGCACCGCTCCCTTTTTCTCTCTCCCCCCGCGAACATGACTCCCACCCAGATAATGTCGGAAACTCCTCCGTTCAGAGGAGCTGCTAACACGGTAAACATTAGCTTAGCCTGACGGACCGCGGTGCTGCAGGGGGGGTTACCGCGTCTACTCACCGGAGCTAACAGAGAAGCCCCCCGCGGGATGTTCCTCCGCTCGCTCCGCCGGGTAAAGTAGGGCACGGTGGCCTGCCGTCCGCGGCTCCCCGTTAGCGACCGGTCATGTTTCTCCGGCGAAGCAACTTAAAAGGAGGAGGGGGGAGTAGAAAAAAAAACTACTGCCTCGGTACATTCTACTCTACTGTCGCAAAATGGTGAATGAAGCCCCCGAGCCTTGACAACCAGCTCGAGCGGCCAATGGCAACGCCAGAACGCTTACAGTAGCCAATRGGAAAGCGCGATTCGAGACACAAGAGGCGGGGCTACGTGTCAAAATGAAATTGAGCGACAGGAGGAAGCGACCAATCAGAGTGTGGGAAAACAGAGCACAGCTGTAGAAGGCGACCAATGAGATTCCCCAAGATTGTTGGACTTTTTACACAAAAATAAGCTTTTTATTTAATTTTACCCCCTCCGTTTTTACACATTAAAACAAGGGCGTAAACAATGAAGGCTTTTTAAGCAACTTAAAAAAACTAAAACGCAACATTATAGCATAAAAGTTCAAATAAACACTTATTTTAAAACTAATAGCTATTAATAAACTAATAAACTCATGCATCTAATCTTCAAATTAAGTTAAAATAAAACGTACTAATATTCAGCCTCATCTGTCCCTCCCAGTCAATCACACACGGAACGCCTCAGTCCCGCCCCCTCGGGCCAATCAGAGCCGCCGCTGGAGGCTATACGTCACCGGATCGGCGCGTGATTGGCCGAACGGTGTCAGGTCTGCAGGCCAATGACCGCGAGCTGCGGTGAGGTCATCRTGCTTGTTGCCATCATCTGGGCCAAACCGGAAGAGTGACACCCCAGTGAGTAAAGTGGGCTCCTCAGTGACCCATATTCACTGGAGGGACGACCCAACATAAAAATAAAAATAAAAAACATTAAAATGCAAATAAACAGGAATGCTGCTCGCAGTTTGATTCAGAGCTGCAGCCCTCAGATAGATTTTCATTTTGGGGAAAAGCTTTGTGCAGCCTTGATATATGTATATAAACTGAAACAGCTGGACTAGTGCATCCTAAATWTAACATCCATTCATTCTTTTAATACAACAGTCATTTCTGCAGTTTTTGGGGAGGTCACCTCCTAATAAATGTCCTTACAGAAAATCTAACTGCTCATTYTAAATCTACACTTTGACTTTTAATACTTAACTACAACAAATATCACATACTTTAAGACTTTTACTCAAGTTATATTCCTAAAGGAGACTTTAACTTTTACCAAAGTAATTTTTTGGTAAAATACTTGTACTTTTAGTCAAGTATCACTTTGTGGAACTTTATACAACACTGGTTTAAACATGTAGAACTTAAGGTTCTGATGGGAAATAAAACAGTGCAGTTTGACATTTCTGTAATGTGGGTCTGCACTCTATGTAAACAAACTGAATCCAAAGAAAATGATAGTTTGCCTGACCTGCACCAGTCTGTGTCCTCAGTCTGAGATGGAGACAATCACGTCCACAGGACTTGTTTGTCCCTCTGAGACACGTTTCGCAGAACTCGTCTTTCTGTCCCTGAGATGAGCTTGTGTCCACAGAACTCATGTCCACTGCCTCGGTTTGTAACATCAGAGCACGTAAACAAAATCAATGTTTGATTTTATAATAAATATTTAAAAATATTTAACATAAAAACTGATCTGACCTTTAATAACAGTTGACCTGCTGCAGCTGCTTCTGTCCAGCAGAGGGCGCTGTGTCCTCTGCTCAGACCACAAACCTGATCATTTTTGGCTTTAAGCAGCAGAAAATTGTTTATTTTTATTCTCAGTTAATCTTATTTACTCMTGATTCCATCTATTATTCTCAGTTTTTCTGCAGAAGCTAAAAAAAATTAAAGAAAAATAAGTTTCACAGCTTGAAAGGAAAAATTTCACCTGTAAAGGTCGGATCAGGACTTTTGCACATTAAAGCAGTTTTTAACTAAAGGYCCAGAGGGTTCTGCGTTCCTGAAGAGTCCGATCCAGCAGGACTCCTGCAGCACCACGTGAGGACGATCCTTGTGGTGCTGCAGACCGTGATCTCTGACCTCATCCAGACAAACTGTCAATCATCCTAAGACCCGCCTTCTGCCAGGACCAGCAGCAGAGTTCACTTTGAAAGTAACCAAATGGAGACAGGTTAAAAAAGACAGATTTAAACATGTTTACATTTACTTTAAAATAAATAAAACTCAGCTCTGAGCTGCAGTTCTAACAGCTGACAGCAGAGGGAGCCAGAGCTGCAGACAGAAACCTGCAGATGATTTTTATTAAATAAATCTGAGCTTTAACAATTCATTTGCAATATATATATANCTCCAGGGTTGGGCGGTGGGGCTGGGGCACCACGATGTTGGGGTAGTGCAGGAAGGCCCGCGGGCTCAGGTGGTAGTTGTAGACGGACTGGGTGTGGGCCTGCAGGTAGTGCTTCATGTCCTCAGGGTTGAAGGAGAAGTGGGAGGAGCCCAGCAGGGGGGAGGACAGGGAGGGGGAGGGGCTGTAGGCCAGGTGAGGGGTGGGGGTCATGGTCAGAGCCGGGGACAGAGTCGAGCCCAGCAGACCTCCGGGAAGCGGGGAGACGGGGAACGGGGACAGAGGCTCCGGGTGCAGCCTGGGAGCGGGTCTGGGGAGCCCTGCCGGGTTTGGACCCCCGTAGAGCCTGAAGAGAGAGTCGTGAGGCAGGCGGGGGGGCAGGAGGCCCCTGAAGGCTCTGTCGGGCCCCGCGGCCCGCTCCTCGGCACCGGCGGCCTCCTCCAGCTCTGAGTTGGTGGAGGTGCCGTCGCTGCAGTCGCTCACAGAGCCGCGGGCCATGCGGCGGGCCACGGTGCTGAAGACCCCCGGGCTGCGCAGCTCCTCGCTGGAGGACAGCACCTCCGACGGTGTGGAGGGGGGGAACCGGAAATGAGTTCCTCCACTCGGAACAGGGGGGGCGCTCTGCGGGACTCCTCGACCTGTGAAGGTAATTCAAACTGTTAGCTCGTGTTGTAGCTGTTAGCTTCAGCTAATTTAAGCTTCTGTGCCGTTTTATTTTAAAGTGTCTGTGATTTTTGTAACAAACATGAATGCATTTTTGGAAAGAGAACATTGATAAAATATAGTAAAACTAATTTCACGTCACTGAGATGAACGGTTGTTGAGATAATTGCATGTGAAGAAACAGGAAGTGATGTCATAGGGGAATGTCTGCATGTGAACAGTGTTGTTACAACAGCTAATAACTCTGTAGAGAAGAATCTGATGTTTCTTTAGATTATTTTCAGTCTCTATCAGAGAGATGAAGAGTTAAAGTTTAAATAAGTTTTAATAAACAAAAACTAGTGAGTTTATTTTATTAAAGAGTTTCCCTTTGATGTCACTTCCTGTTTCACTTTGGCTGAGCCTAATTTAAATAAAAAATAGGCCAGTTATGGGACAAAATGTGTAAAATCATGAGTATTATGGTAATTTTCTTTAGAATAAAGATGTTTTCTTTGACTTTTTGTATTTGAAGGACAGACATGTCACGGGAACTTTCAGCCTCAGGCTCCACTTGATAAACCTCAGCAGGTCTCGGTCTCAGTCCTCCAGTTTTCCTCGGCTCTGTTCTGCCAGGCAGACCGTGGCACCAGATCCAAATTCTTGGCCTCCAGAACTAAACGCTGGAAAAGTGGCGCTCGCTGCCATCACAAACACGGGCCGGGCTCACGCGCTTTTTCCAGAACTTCTCTTTTTTTTTTTTTAATAAAAACACATCTGCTGCGTGTGTCAGACATGATGAGTGGAGGAGAACTCTGTGTGTGTGTGTGTGTGTGTGTGTCTGTGTGTTCACACACAATTGCCCAGGCCCGTATCTGTGGTCCGATCAGAACCAGAACCTGCAGTTAGAACTGCAATCATGTTAAAATACAATTAAAAAAAAAAAACTCACAAATCGCCTCACCCAGATGGGTTAGTTCACATCTTTTGAAGGTTATGAACAGTCAGTGTCTTACCTGTTGCAGATAAATTTAATCATCAGTTTAATTTGAGCTAACGGCTAATCTGAACCAATGAGTCTTTGTTTTGACGTTAATTTGACATTGACTGGTTATTTACAAGCACAGTTAGCGACAGCAGCCGTTATCTGTAGCACTTCCTGTGCAGTCTGAGGCACTTCCTGCATTTCTGTTGAAATAATTAACGTTTAAAGTGCCAGTCACAAATTTTATGAATGTGAATGTATTTTTTGGAAAGATAACTGATAAAATATTACAAAAAATTTTTTCACATGGCTGAGACAAGCAGTTGTTGACATATTTGCATGTGAAGTAACAGGAAGTGATGTCAAAGGGGAATGTCTGCATCTGAACAGAGTGTTGCTATAATGGCTAACAGACTGTAGAATAACCTGTTTCTATAAATTGAGTCACAGACAGTTCAAATAATGTTTCATAAACAAAAACAAGTGAGTTACCATTTGATGTCACTTCCTGTTTCACTGATGTCACTTCCTGTTTCACTTTGAGCCAAACTAAAGAGAAAATATGCCAGTTATGAACCAAAACAGGTAAAATTGTATTATTCCAAGTTCCTTAAATACAAAAAAAGTTTTCTTTTGACTTTTTGTATTTAAATTTTAGACACTTTAATTGCTGAGGAAGTATATCTACAACAGGTAAGATGATACTTACTCATTAAAACAAAACCCCAGTCCAAAAGATCTGAACTATCCCTTTACCTGCCTTAAATTTTAGGATATAAAAGAGATAGAAGCAGCTCAGCGGTCGAGAGAAGGCAGAAATATACGGATAATAAGATGCCCGTCAGAATACATATACATATACATATATATATATATATACATATACATCTTTACTATTAAAAATAAGATTTACCTAATTCATATCAAATGATCGTATTGAAATATATCTGATTTCAATATATATTTGAATAAAATATATACGTGTAGATCTGCTTATTCTTTGTTTTACAAAAGCCAAAGGCATGTTGGTTTGATGTGTCGGGGGTTCGATCCATAAAACTCACAAAAAGGCACCATCTTCGTTTAATAAAACAAACAATCTTTTTAAAATTTTTTGGAACAAAATGATTTTTTGTTTTTTATCTCAGAGAGGGTTTGCCTGAGTTAGCCTTGATGCTCTGTGTTCGTTACATTTTTCTCCCAGGAGTGAATCCGTCCTGAAGGCGGTCGGATCGACACGAATGCCCGGAAATACTGAAGGACGAACTTCTGAGGGAAACAAGTCTTTTATTTTAGTTTAAAACAAAGAGGAGCTCCAGGACTCGTCAGGAAGTCTCTGGGTCCTGGAGGCCTGACGGGTCCAGAGCGAGGAGGAGCTCATCATGGTCCCCTCCTGTGATCATGTCTGCTGTAAACACGGCGCAGCGGCAGAGAGGCACTTCTATAATCTCTAAACGGGGCGTCTGAATCAGTAACATCAGGATCTGCCTCTTGGAGAGGGAAAAAAAGAAATAAACTCTAATCTGACTTAATTTCTCCAGATGAAAGACACAATCTGAGCACACAATCTGAGCACATAAACTGGCACGATGACGTTCAGGAGAGGAAACTTTACATGTTAGTGTTGAAAACAGCAAAACGCTGTTTGATGAAACACCGGTGTTTCACGGAGAGTCGTTTCTGCACAAGAGTCTGGGAAATACACTCGTTTTGTTCTTTGCTTCCGTTCGATCCAACGCAGGGAAAGGTTTTGTTCAGTTTAGTATTTTAGGGAGCGGATGAGGTCAGGAAAAAATGGCCGACAGCTCCTCGGATTATTGCACCAAAACAAAAAGATAAAAACAACTTCCTGCACGCGACANATTTTCAGATTCCTGCTTTAAAAGCTACATTTTGACACCTGGATCATCCTGATATCATAAACTTATCCAGAGATTTGACTTCATTTGTCTTGTTGGTTACAATAATACATTACTGTTTGGTCTGAATCCTAATTTTAAATTAACTGAGTAATTTTTGATGTTAGTATAAAGACTAAACCTCAAATATTATTTGTTTATTAAGACTTCCCAGTTGGAAAGAAACAAAAACATTGTTAGCTCACAGGGAAAATTCAAAATTTTAAGGTGTTTCTCCTCAAAATCAGGTTTTTGTTGCTACTGCTCAAAAAAATGCTTCAAATGTGTTTTTTAGGATTAAATTTCACACAGTTCCTTCAACTGATACATTGATAAGTCATTTATTTATTTATTTATTATATTTTGACAAAATGCCATTTCTGCACACGTTCAAATCAAAATATCTGCCTGTTTCTCYACTTTTAGACTTAATCCTGGTTTCGATGTGACGGCTCACATATTACCAAACTAATTTCACGTTGCTCAGATGGGCAGTTGTTGAGATTTTTGCATTTAAAATAACAGGAAGTAATGTCAAAAAAGTTAGTAATTATTTTAATATTTGATTCAAATTACAGTCATCCTAYTTACAATGTGTTCACATTAAGACTTCTGAAGATCGATTGAAGACATTTTAAGGCTAATTAAGGCCTTATGTTTGGGTTGATGAATTCAAGGCTTTTTAAGGCTTTTTAAGGATCTGCAGAGACCCTGTTGTGAACGTACCGGAGCCCATATCGATGAAGGGGTAATTGACGAGCACCAGCTTGTTGAAGTTGAACTTGTAGGTGAACCTCTTCCCTTTGGTCTTGTGGAGGATCCTCTTGTTGTAGTAATATCTGAAAACATGACAGAAAACAGAAAGAAGAGAAGATTTATCTACATTTTTTAAAAYGCGTCACGTGTTTCTGTGACACCAGGGTTACACCCAGCAGCTAAAAACAACTTTTACAGTCAAACTGAGGGGAGATGTTTTCACAAAGCATCAGAGTTCAAAAACAGAAGCGACAGCCGCAGCGAACACAGTGTATCTGTTTGGTTATTTTTCAGGTTAAAAATCATTATTTTGCAATATTTCAGCAAACGACACACCAGATAAGCTATCTGGTAACTCATTTACAAAAACTGATGTTTTGTGTTTGCTCCTTTTGAGTCTGGATCGGGGACAAAAGTCAGTCATTATTTCATCAACTTTGAGATGACAACGCGTGGATTCTAGAAAAAAAAGAAAATATATTTAAATATTTACTGTCTCAGATCTGTGCATGAAATAATGTCAGTTTTTACATAATGATTAAAGAAGAATTAACCTGTTTATAACTGTGTGGACTAAAACCTGCTGACTCCTGCAGGTTTTCCTGTTTGCTGGTTCAGTTGAGAGGACCAAACCTCTTCAACAAGCATCAGATTTATTTATTGTGTGACTTGAACACGTCTGATTCATCCCTKCCAGTGTGTTCAGAAGACAAGAGGCTGTAAAAGCACCACATCCGCTGTACTTTTTACATCACCCTGCGATGAAACGAGTCGCTCGCTACGTGCACAGAAACATAATCCCTGTGAGGGAGGGAGGGGGGAGGCGTCCATTCAGGTGGAGTCCGATCAGGCGGCTCCATTAGTTCGAGTGCATTAGTCACCGTCAACACGCAGGAGGATGTAAAGGAGTGAATAGGCAGCTGCTGACAGCTCATCTGAAAAKCCAACACAAACGGCTGCGTGTGACTCACCGACGGGCGCATTCATATTTCTATATGTGAAAAACAAGTGTGTCCCATTCAGCCGCGACCGCACCGGGCCGCACCGGACGCTGCGGTGGCAGAAAACAACATTACGCATCGTTTCCAGGTACACGGAGTACAGGAGGCTCATTTAAAACTGAGAAATATGGATTTGTGGAACGCTGATGGGCCTTTTGTCGGCCGTTTCCTGCAGCAACAAAAGACAGAATGTGAAACTGTACGAGGTAAACAGGTTGTGTAACCGCCCCGCTCCTAATGAGCATCCATCACCTTCAAGGATCAATAGATTATTAACAAAAACCACGATTCAACCGTCAGGAGCAGGATTTATCTCTCAGCTCTTGTCTTTTCTCTGGATAAAACTTAAAATGCAAATGGATAAAAACAGCTGAAAGCAGGAGTCACTTCTAACTCAGAGCTCAAAACGATTGGTTTGAACTATAGTCAACTCTGTTAGCAAAATATCTCACAAACCACTGGATGGATTTCAATAAAACTTTCAGGAAGTGATCAATCTACAAACCATTAAATGTTGGATTAGGGCTGAGTCTCGTGGCCAAGTTCTGAATCGATTCATCAAGATTCAGTTAGATCTGCTCTTAATGAAAACGGTTCAAATGTGCTGCAAAACTCCTCTACAGTTTACAAACAGATCACCTGGTCTGTCATATTTAAGTCCTGCAGAGAGGCAGCTGTAATGTTAGTGATTCATTAGTTTCTGTTGTTTTGAACCAGACAACTTTAGTTAACRTTAGCGCTGAACGTCAACCGGATGTAAACATAGGGCAAGCCAGGAGGGACACAAAACACAGAAACAAGCCTCAGCTTCATCACAAGATGCCATGAGGAAAAATATCTCATGCCCTATGGATCCATTTTACCAAATTTAAATTAAATAATTTTTTTACCCAGCCCTGGTAAAGATGGYCGCCACAGCCAACACGAAACATCAGATCTGGGAAGTGATTTTGTGTCGCAAAAATTTTTTTTATTTACGTTTGTAAATTTAATAAACTTCTTTTAAGTGTGGGGTGCTATCATTTTATTAGTTTAAGTGTCTCAAAAAATACCGTTTATCACGATAATTTCTGAGACAATTCATCGTCCAGCAACATTTGTTATTGTGAGGCCAGAGTCGTCCTCAACATAAAACAATCGGTCACGTTCTGTGAAAGGTTAGAACAACAAAAAGGTAGAGAAAAGGGACGTGAGTCATCTGGTCAATCCAGCGTGAACAGRTTATTAGTCACGGGAGTCGGGTACAAAGAGGAGAAAGAGGAGCAGCGGTGATTGGACCAGGAGCTCATTTAGCTCCTCGGTGACTCAAAGAGTGAAGGGCCTCTTCTGAAAGAAACGACGGCGATGATGAACTCCCACACGTCACATGGAGTACAGTCACACAAACAGCAGGAAGAAAAACACTAATGTGTGCGAGTGACGACATGGAAGCAGGAACACTCATCCTACAGGGGTCGTCTTCACAGACCTTTTTACACTTAAAAACTGACTCAACCTGCTGGTTTGTGCCTTTCTGTTAGTAAAATATCTCATAAGCCACCTAATATTTCTGAATGAAACTCAGGAAATAAAACCAGGGTCCATCTGCTCTGAAGTGATGTGAGCATGCAACATTTGTTTCACAACAAACATAGTGTAAACCCAGTCTGCACATCTCAGGAGGTACAAGTCAGGGTTTGAACCAACGGTTTCAGAGAAACTCACACACCTAATCAGCTCACCRGGACCCTCCTGTTAACTGAACTCACGGTTTAACGGCACAGATTTATGTACACATACATGTCAGCGTGAGCACACATGTGCACCAAAACTCWCTTCAAAGTCTGAGAGGAGCATCGATCAAAGACGAAGAGACGTTCCTTCAAACAGCTTCAGAATCAATTAACTCGTGGTTCATAAAGAAATACTTCAGAAACCACAAGAGACGAATCCACGACCGAGTTTGACTCCAGATTTTTATTAATGTAAACAGATCAGACATGAAACACGTCTTTATTACAGTCAGTTTTCATTAAACACTTAACTTTTGTTGACTGAAGAGTTTAAAGAATTCACATCAGGTGAAGTCTCCTGAATAATAACGTTTATCAGATTAAACAATTAGAAAACAACAAAGGTAATTAATATTAATCTTTTAAATTATGATTTTGAGCTACCATTCTGCTACCTTTAGCTTCTAGACAGTTATTTATATACTTAGCTTTTAGCTTTCCAGTTGCTACTTTTAGCTTCTAGCCTGTTTTTTATACACTTTGCTTCTAGCCTTCCTATTCCTTCGTTTAGCTTCTAGCCAGCTATTGCTACATTTAGCTTCTAGCCAGTTTGTTATACACTTAGCATCTAACCTTTCTATAGCTTTGATTTGATTTATTTATTTATTTATTTAACAGGAAAAGATTATTAAAAATCAAGCCTGACTCAGCATAATTGCTGTTTTACAGCAGGTTCCTGTTCTGCAGCACATAAAACACTCAGAAATAC